GTTCGTCTGTTATATTTGTAAATATTTGGTGGTATAAAGATATGTTGTAAAAAGTTGTTAAATTATTGTTGACGACAATGGTGGTGATGAAGATGACAATGTTGACAATGTTTTTGTCAGCAATGATTAGTGAAATGGTGTTTTTTGCTGTTCTTACCCTAACATATGACACTAAAATTAATCGAAAATTAAAAGAAAGAAAGAAGAAGATAGTTCTAATTTTTTTTTGTTATTATAATTGTTGCTAAATGCTATACGACTTTTGGAGGTGTTTAGTTTAGGCAACCGTTCTTGATGGCTGCGCAAATTGATGAGTGGCATAGGCAGCAAGTTTCTTTGCTAGTTTTTAAAGCGGTATTCAGGTGTGACAATTACAAGGGAAAAAAAATGCAGCAAAAGAATTGGTAAAATTAATAAAATTTTTTGGAAACCGGGCGGTACAAAAAAAAAAAAGTTGAGAAAAAACTCTTAACTTATCATCAAAATATTTATACGTCTTGTAATCTCAAAATATTCACAGATTATTACTTGTCTAGTACCTTTTGCTTTTTTTTTTGCCATTTATTTTTGGTAAGCTTCAAATTTCAATTTAAAAAAAAAATATTAATCTTCTTTTTTATATCTTTTACCTCTTTAACAACGCCTTTCTTTTAGTTGTTTGTCAACGACAATGCCAAAGATAAAATTTTTTTGCAAATATACTGTAAAATTGATGGCAACAAACAACAAAGTATTCAAATGTTCAGTTCTAACCTATCCATCTGCCCAATATTGCTTTACTAGCAGTTCAGTATCGTTATTACTTCCTTTTACTCTAATTCTTCACGAAAATGTTGTCAATGAATAGGATAAAGCAAATAAGGAATCTGATATTCCCTCAATCCAGCCATCGAAATTACTGATATACTTCCTTCCCCTACATTTTCCCTTTCTTTGTCCCTCGTGCCCTATCGTTTTCTCCCAATTCCCATCGCTCCTTCACCTCCCCCTTCCGCAATCCCACTTCAATCTCCATCATTTCGTAGAACCAAAGAAAAAAAAAACCAGTCCTCAAAAATTCTGTGCACCAAAAAGAAAAAAAAAAAAGAAAGGAAAATTAGAGAGCTAATTCTTTTCATCCTTCATTTAAAATTTTATATTTATTGTTCTAAAAAAAATTTATTGCTCCTGTTTGTTTGTTTTCTATTTTTGCAAAAAGTACACTATTTTTCTCCCTTATCTGGCGAATGAAACTTTTTTTTTTCTTCAAACAGCTACAGTAAAATAAGCGTTGAAAAAAATTTTTTTAAGATTTCCTGTTTGTTCCAAATTTTATTTCAAATTTTTTTTTCTTCTAACAAAAAAAATTAATAATTTTATTTTTTTTCTAAATTTTTTACTTCCAGACAAATTTTGTGAAAAAGTATAAAAGATTTTTGGAATTATACCGCTTCCGTTAACTGCCGATGAACATTGGTATATTATTTTTCAGAAAAACTTAAGTGGATATAAAAAAGAAAAATTTTTTGACGAAGGTTTTAAAAATTAAATGTATAATTTTTGGCTTACAGTAATACTGCACTTTGTTCTAAGATAGCAATGAAAAACAGTTGAACAGAAAGTTATACTTTAGTTTTCATCTCCTATCGGACCATAAAAAAAAAAAGACGAATTGAGCAAAGATCAACAGTGAAAATCGCAGTTGATACTGAGGTTTTGATAACAAAAAAAGAAATCTAATCTGTAGAAAAAAGAGACTTTTTTCCCTACGAAACAATCCCAAAAATGTTTAGAAAGAAGAATCGAATCTTTTTTATAAATTCCATTTTTTTTCTTCTCTTTTTTTCCCCTCTTCGTTCTGTTCGTTTCAACAGATCGATTTGAAGTGCTTGTATTGTAAAACACTGCATTTCTGGTAAAATCAAACAAATCTTTAGTGGTAAGATGATGAAAATGATGATGAAGAAAAAAGACTGAGAAAAAAAACAACCTTTTTTTAAGATGTAAAAGTGTTTCACAAAACTGCTTTTCTTTTTTTTTTATAACAAAAAATTGTCCTGTTTTTTTTTTTTTTTTTTTTTTTTTTTT